GATATTTATATCGCTTTTTTTCGTTCACATCACAGTTCGAAATATTTCCTCTCTCTTTTCGTTCACATCACAGTTCGAAAATATTTCCTCTCTCTTTTCGTTCACATCACAGTTTCGAAAATATTTTCTATCGCTTTTTGCGTTCACATCACGGTTTCAAAAATATTTCCTATTGCTTTTTCGTCACGTATCGCTATTTCGTCGCGTTACAGATTTCCTACTGGAAAAACAAACTTCTGTAAGTAATTAATTTAATTAAATTTAATGATATTAATTGATTATTGATATATTTAATTGATGGATAGCGATGTAGTATAAATTTATTGATATGTGATAACGAAGTTAATAATTTATTTTATGGTTTATTTTAATTAGACAATTATGCGTTAAATGATAGGATGATTCAAAATATATATATAAAGTGCTTCTTTATCTCTTGTTCGATCTTTAATAATGATAAATACCATAATGAAAAGATTTAAAAGATTTAAATTTTTACAAATTTCTCAGGATGCATAGGAATCTCAATACTAGATCTCAACAAAAAGAATCAGATTCCCGTTCTCACTTACGTCGTTCTCATCAACGATCCCATTCACGTTGTTCCCATTGTCGTTCTCACTCACGTCGTTCTCATCAACGATCCCATTCACGTTGTTCATATCGTCATTCTCACTCACATCATTCTCATCAACGATCCCACTCACATTGTTCACATCGTCATTCTCATTCACGTCGTTCCCATCGTCATTTCCAACCTCGTAGTCGTAGTCGTTCCCAATCTCGTAGTTGTAGTCATTCCCAATCTCGTAGTCATAGTCGTTCCCAATCTCGTAGTCATAGTCGTTCCCAATCTCGTAGTCATCGTTCTCATCCTCGTTCTCACCGACAACATATCTCTCCATCCCATTCTAGTTCCCCTATCCGTTCACGTCGACATCATCAATCACATAAATCACAATCTAGATCCCGCAGTTCTTACCATCATCGATCCTATTATGAAGTATCTGATTCTAATGATCAATTTACCACTCTCTCATCCAAAGATTCATCACCACAAAATAGAGGGAGATCATTAACAAAAAGTAATATTATTTTAAATTAGTCTTAATTACATTTCAAAAAATATACCGATTTAACATAATTATTATAGGAGCACTTACAAATCAATCTTCGATATTGCAAAATCAACCTTCCTCTTCAATTACTCCGGCTCTAAATAGCGGTATTATTTCCCTCACGCTCCTATTCTGACTTGCATGTAAAAAAAAAAATTTTCAAAATAAATTGTATTAAATACTGACTTATAATAGGTGGCGTTGAAAGCCAAGAAATTCAAGAATTAAGAAATGTAATCTTAAATCTCACACAACGCTTAAATAACCTAACCGAAAAAAACATTAGTCATGAAGAACCTTTAGTTAATCGTCCCAATAGAAGCTTATCACCTATTCTTATTAGAGAACAGAAACGTGAGCTGCCACTCATATCAAGTAATTATAAGAAGACACTTCACGTAAATATACATTTTTATTAAAATTTATCTTTATTAAATTAAATATTTGATCATTTAATGACTGTTTTATTAAATAGGATGAAGTAGTCCATATTCTCAATAATCTTAATCAGTCGCTTCAATTCGACCTATCAAAGACGTACAGTGAACAAAAAAAAGCAATAGAAAGAAAACTTTTGCCAGCAGTAAAATCGGCCATGAATCCTTCTATTGTAGCATATGATATAGAGATAGTAAGAATCATAAAACAATTGCATAAATCTCGCCGAGAGATTTGGAAACTGCAAAAAGAGGGTAAAATGCC